TCTATGTGTAAGATGAAAGTAACTATGCACTCACTTGTTAAAGTAGCGACTCGAAATTCGAGTAGCGCTTCGCTTCTTAACAATATGATTTCCTTCGATGAAACCTAGTATTATTACCACTAGATTTTAGTCTAATATTTATTGCGACTAATTATTAGTGTAGATTCGTCATTAACTCAGAGTCTACTTCATGATCTATCAAGTAAGGAACAACCAGGTAGGATCATATTAGAGGTAGGGTCCGTTTGGTATACGAAGTATACTTTTTGGAAATTCCACTTTAAACACCTCACTAATCAAAGCCTAGACATCATCCCCATAAGTACATCAATCAGTATAACGACTTTGAATCACTGATAAATCTTATTTATAGGTTCATAATAACGATATTATACTTAAATATAAGCTATATTTAAAATAAGGTAGGCGTATCTTACCTACGAGGAGGTTTGGCTAGGAGTCGGGCTCTGCAGGGACAAAACTTCTGAGCCGAAAGCTCTTCTTCTCGGAGCCTTCTGGCACTGCGGGAATCGCCTCTAGCACTTAGGAAGTGCTAGGGAAGGGGGTAATGGGAGAGAAAGAGTATGAAAGGTGTGATTTTTGGGGGTGATTTACACCTCTATTTATAGGCTGTCTGGGCCGATTCACGTCGTGAAAAAGGGTTCTCATGTCGTGAGCCTTGCGTAGGCTCCAAGGCGAAGTCTGGTGCTGACCAGTGGCGCCAGACGCATGTAAAACAACCAATCTTTAAAAGTTCATAACTTTCGCATACGAACTCCGTTTTTGACGTTCTTTATATCAACGCGTAGGTAAAGACAAGATCTACAACTTTCCTTTTGACTTCGTTGGCTAATTCTCGACCGATTTTAAATTGAACAGTATTACAAGATTATAATGTTAAATGACTGCGTAAAATTCATAACTTCTACATACGGACTCCGTTTTCGTCTGTATTTTTATTGTTGAGCTCCTATTAATGAGATCTTCAATTCTTATTTAGGTTGCGTTGGCCAAAACCTGATCGATTTCAAATTCGAATTTCGGGTTGTGCAATGCTATGCCAAATCTTAGAAAAATCATAAATACGAAGTCAGATTTGGCCGTTCTTTTTATGCACGCTCTCGGTTTAACGTATACTACGACTTTCGTTTAGATTACTAAGGCTAAAATGTAATTTATCAAAAATTCACTTTTTACGTTACGCGGTGCCGTGCCGGTTTAGCCGTAAAATTTCGACGGACCATAACTTCTTCGTTATAACTCAGATTTCGGCGTTCTTTATATGTATGGAACCCTTGTGACATATACTACAACTTAGTTAATATTGTTCATTCTAAATAATTTTCTATCAAAAAGTCATTTTTGACGGTTATTTTCTCTAAATTGACTAGTCCGAATCGGCAGGCGTTACAACGAAGGAAACCCTAAAAATCATGGGCTTGGGTTGCATCGCTTACCACGTCGTGACACTCTTCTTGTCATGTCGTGGTGTCCATTAGAAGCACACAATATTCATTTTGCATGCCACGTCATGCCACTCCATGCGCCACGTCGTGGTATATGTATTTCCTCAAAACCATGCCTTTGACTCCTTTATGTTATCAACTGATCCATTTTGGAAAACGGTTGTTACAACAGTCGACTTATCCGGATCCCTGGTCTCGTCACTCTAATGCTACTCACCTCATTTTCATTGATGTCGACCACCATGTCTACTCCATTACTGGCCACCACATATACATCCACTGGCGATCTGCTGCCTCATCTCCTTTGACCACCACCCCCAGTTGTTCTACTCTGATCACCGAACACATCCCTTAATCGTTATCTTCTGCAAACAAATTGAGTTACCACCACTACCACTCCTCACCATATTTGCTTTTTCATCCACCTCCCTAGCGGTTCCCAATAGATATACCACCCCCATTGACCTCTCTATCGTTCCTAATGGTGGCCCCAACACCATATCCATAATATGTGCATCAATAAGCATTTGTGGTTCAATTTCAGGTTTTGAACGATTAGGTTTATAACAGTTTCAAGTTTTAAATAATTGAATTTGAGATCAATTTCTTAGTTTCAAAAGAATTTCAGGCTTTAAACGATTGGTCTTGAAATTAATTTCATGTTTTAAACAATTGGATATGAGAATTTTAAGTTTTTAATAATTAGAATTAAGATCCATTTATAGGTTTGAAATATGATTTCAATTTGGCTTTGTTTGTAGGTTAGATATTTGAATGTAATGGTGGTGGATGGCAACTTAAGGCTCGTAGGTGTTATACCACACTTACCATATTTTTACAATGTCATGTTATTTTTTGTCTCAACAATAAAACAGGTAAGTGTCATACCACACTTTACCACATTTTTGTTTTTTTTAATTGAATAAAATGTAATTTAATAAAAAAAAAACTTCATTAATTTAATAAGAACGATTACATTCCTAAAAAACGACAAAAAAAATACATAAACGATTACATTCCTAAAAACGAAAAATAAAAGAAAACTATATAAAACGACAATTTTTAAATAAAAACACTACTTGTAATATTTTTTTCATGATGTCCGCTCTAGTCCTCAAAACCATATCGAGCTCGTCTTCGATGATGTGTAAGGTTTTCTTGTTGTGGTATTTGTTGATAGCAAAATTGTTGGGGTCGGGGCGAGATTGAAGACATCCATTTTTGGTCAGTAAACTGACGGCTCAATCGGACAAACATATGCACGCGATTTGCTACAACGGTAAATTGAGGGTTGTTTGGATTCATTTTTGGAATACAAAGATTTCAAAAGTTGTATAAATTGAAGGTGGTTTGTGTGTAAAAAATATAAAACATATATTTGGATGTAAGCCTTCTCAGGCCTTTTCCCAGATCCTCACTGGGCTCGTTTTGCAATATATTCCTGTGTTGTTCAAAAACAAAAAGTGGTTTTCTGAAAAAAAATAAAATAAAATTAAAATACCAATTTCTAGCCGTTGTCAACGGCTAGAAATGACTCCTTTTCCCATTTCTCATGCGGCAAAACTAACACAAAGCACATATACTACATTTGTTTTGTTTTTTGGTCTCGGTAGGGTGTTTACCGCATACCGCATCTTATCGCGGTATGCAGTAATCGGTGCACTGTATGGTCTTAGGTGATGGTGGTAGTAGTAGATGACACATCTAAGTGATGTTAGATTGAAGTTTTTGGTGGTAGAAGTAGTTGTTGAATTTTCATGGGAAAAAAGGACACTAGCAACACTGGTGGATCTATAGTGGTGCCCGGTGATGCACGCACTGATAACACCTATTTTTTTCTGTATGTAATGGAAGTTTTTTTGATTTTTTTACTTATTTTTTATGTACCGGCAACATCTATTTCAACTCGGTAACACCTAATATGAATTCCTGCGTCTAGCAAATTCAAGGGTGGAATACATATCCTCGTTTAATAATAATAATAATAATAATAATAATAATAATAAAATAGAAAACTGACAAAAAAATATATATAATTTTATCATTTTTCATGTATTTAAGTGGGTTACACAGTAACTGCAAACGGACCATAGCTGATGGATTCGCCGATCATAAAGATCGTGGTGTCAAATTTTCAAAATTATGTCCAAACCTGTAGAAATGTATATACCATAGGGACCGAACCGAAACTGTAATTTACTCTTAAGTGTATAATAAATTAGAAAAGGGAGTTGTGAAAGAGATGTGATACGTGGATTTCGCTTATTGGCGTTGGAAGACAGCTAGTATGAAAATAACGGATGAAGATCCGTCCTATATATTGTAGGATAATTTGACCATTTGACCATCACCACCGTCCCCGCGGCCATGGATCACCACTAGCCGGAAATATTTGTATTTGTGAATATTAATTTGTCTGTGATTTGTGTATATGAATATTAACGTTTTAGAAAAGGTCTAGCTCACTGTAATATTGTGCGATCAACTTTAAAGTTTTTACCAAACATTCATGAATGTGTGAATACATTAACTGATAAAAAACATTTTTATCAGAGAAATTAGTAAAATTAAACATTATCGTGTAAATCATTAAGAAAGCTATTTCGTTATATAAATTCATAAAGTATAAGACTTTATTCTATAAAATTATAACCCTTTAGAAATTTAACATATGATTTATATACAACTTAATATAAATATTTTATTTTGATTATTGTATAATATATATCGTTAAATCTCCATTAATAAGTCATGAAATAACTCGGAACAAAAGAAGGAAACATCAAATTTCACTTGGATTTTCTTTCCATTTACACATAAAATCTTTAAGTATGGACGCTAGCTACGTTGTAATAATAATAATAATAACAATAAAAATAATAAAATAATAAAATGAATTTTTTTAAAAAATCTAGAAGGAGTAATTAGTCAAAAGGGTAAACTTTAGAAAGTTTCAAACGGCAGAGGTTAATTTGATAGCATTTTTTGTTTCTCTTTTTACAATGATATGATTAATTAATAGTCTAATTTATTAGACACCATTGTAAAAATTATTATCAAGATATTAAATCATTTCTTATATATTGAATACATGTTATATTATAAATATATCTATGACTATATATGATTAAAATTCTACCATTGATAATTAACCATACCAAATATTTCGAAGTTGCATCATGTGACCCCATCACTCTCTTATCATATCATATGCCAGCGAAAAGTGAAAATAACAACAGTAATAATATAGTATATAAATTATAAAGTTACACATTTGACTTTGTAAAATATTTGTTGTCAAATACACACCCAAATGTGTGTTTTTGTGTGTGTTTTACGTGTATTTTTTTTTTTGTGTATGTGTGTGTTCGTTTAAGCCTTTAATGAAGGGACACGTTGCCATGGAGATTAACACAGGACGGCCACCGAATCCCATTGACTTCCCCTTTGTTTCTTGTCTTCTTTCCCCCTCTTTTTCTCTCTCTCTATACGTATATATATATACACAAGTACTCGCATTTCTATGGACCTACATCTCTCTATCTATCTATCTCTATCTCTCTCTCTCTAAAACTCTTTTAGTAAGCAAACGTACAGATTAAAGAACTTAAACTTAAATTTACACCATGGGAAGATCACCTTGTTGTGAAAAGAATGGGTTAAAGAAAGGTCCATGGACTGCAGAAGAAGATCAAAAACTGATTGAATACATTCAGAAGAATGGCTATGGAAACTGGAGAACTCTCCCCAAGAATGCTGGTAAGTGCTTGAATTTATGGACTACAAGAGAGTGGCTGTGGAAACTGTCTCTATGAATAATCACTGATCATTTTCGGGTTGAACTTTATGGTGTTTAGGATTACAGAGGTGCGGAAAGAGTTGCAGGTTAAGATGGACGAATTATCTGAGACCCGATATTAAAAGAGGAAGGTTTTCTTTTGAAGAGGAGGAAACAATTATTCAACTACACAGTGTGTTGGGGAACAAGTAAGTCAACAAGTCAACTTTTTAATTGATTTTATATTTGATTAATCACTTGGATGATATTTGAAAACATGGGTTTAATTTGTTCAAAATGTTAATTTTCAAAACGGGTTTGGTTAAAGATTTGAAATTTTGGTTTTTAGTTGTCTAATCATTTGATCATTTCACAGGTGGTCTGCTATTGCAGCTCGTTTGCCAGGAAGAACTGATAACGAAATCAAGAATTACTGGAACACCCACATTAGAAAAAGACTTCTTCGAATGGGAATTGATCCAGTTACCCATAATCCTCGACTTGATCTTCTTGATATTTCATCCATTTTAAGCTCATCGTTTTATAGCCAATCTCACACAAACATGTTCGGGGTTCAACCAGTGGTTAACCCTGAATTGTTGAGGTTAGCAGCATCACTCCTCTCTTCTCAACGCAATCAAAACACTTTTGTCCACCAAAATGGTCAAGAAAACCAATTCGGAAGTCCCCATCAAGTTCAAGAAAATCATCTAGTCCAACTCCAAAACCAAGATCATCAAACCCTAATTCAAGAAATCCCTAGTTGTGCCCCATTGAGTAATTACCCTAGCTGTGTTCAATACTCTAGTGAATCTTCCCAACTCATGGAACCAAATGTAGACCAACTTCCTTCGAGTTTTTCGCATGTTAACCCACAAACTTGCGCATTGAATGATTGGCAAAACAATCTTGATAACTTTATCGCCATCGACAACTATGGCTACCATCAACACGTAAGTGATTTTGACTTCAACTCACATTTGTCGAATCTATCAACACCTTCGTCAAGTCCAGCTCATCTAAATTCGAACTCGAACTCCACTTACATCACTGGAAGTAGCAGCACCGAAGATGAAAGAGAAATCAGCTATTGCAGCAATTTGTTCAAATATGAATATCAAGAAATCTTGGAGTCGAATGCTTTTATGTAATTTTTGAATATATTGTAATTTGAATCCAGCTACATGATCATAATCCAAAAGGTTCTTTTGTTTATTTTTTTTAGCTAGATTTCCATTATTGGTATATCATTTGTTTGAACTATTTTTGATTGAATGCTTTGTCAAATTTAGTAAGAATATAATATCCTAACACAACATAAAAAAAATAAAAATTCCCAATCAAGAATGCATTTGTTTAGGATTACAGAATAAAGAATACACAACATACAGACAAATTTTATATCTTGAAAGTTGACTTATGCAAGGCCATCTTGACAGGTGTACAATTAAAGAAGTAACTAAAGAAAAATATTTGATTATCAATTAAATATATATATTTTCTAATCATATATTACAATTCAAATTATTAATTTCTTCGAGTGTTAGTTTAAAAAAAAGTAAATTAGAGATTAGGTTTTACTATTATTTTTTTAACAGCAAAAAGATTACGTTGCAAGACAATCTTAAAAGTAATTTCTTCTTAGAAAATAAGTGTATACAATTATATAATTATTTAAAAACCACCAATAATTGGGATTTGAAAACAATAAAGAACTTTATAATTGTGTGGTCCTTTCACAAACACACACACACATATATATATATATATATATATATATATATATATATATATATATATATATATATATATAACCAATTATTTTTGACGTATTAACGTTTAACTTATTCTCAACCAATTATTTTTAAAAAAACTAGATATGGGCATAATAGTCAATTAACATATAAAATTATTAATTAATTTATAATTATAATCCAAAAATTATGGTAACTTATTTAAATATGAGCTTATAAGTATGGTAATTGTAAGAACCTATATTTATGGTATAAGTGTTTTAGATTGCTATTATGTGTTTAAGGGCATTTTGGACCTTTTGGTAATGTTTGAATTGTAAAATGCTATTAAGTGCCTATTATGTGTTTGTTAGATGTTTTAAAGTAATGGAAATGTGTCATTAAGCATGAAGAATGAGTTAGAATTAATGGGCATAGGATTTGGGTATGAAATGCATTGAAAAAGGAATGGAAGGTTGATTACAGCTCCACCACGACATGGTGAGCAGCTTGTCACGACATGATGGTTGAGGTGGTGATTTGGGTGAGATTTCGTCATAAGTAATAGTAAACTTACTTTGCACCGCAGTGTGATATATGGATATCATGACGTGGTGGCCAAAGTAGGTTGTTATTAGGGATTTCCACTACGCCGTGTATGAAAGCTGACTGCGGGTTCATTTAAGTCACCACGTCGTGGTGGAGGTCTCACAAGGGCGCGGTTTCGAGATAGATTAAAGATCAGTTAAGTCCTTATTATTGCTCAAAACACTTCTCATTTTGTTGAGAAAGGGAGAGAGAGAGAGAGAGAGAGAGAGAGAGAGAGAGAGAGAGAGAGATAGATAGAGAAAGAAAGAAAGAAAGAAAGAAAGAGAGTATGACAATTTCGAGGTTGAAGAAGGATTACAGAGTGATCAAGAGTGTTTGTAGCAAGGTTTGAGCACTAGAAGCTCCGTGATGTATCATCTTCTCCATTTTCAAACGTTTTAGGGCTTTAATGATGTTTTGATGATTTGAGCTAGTTAAGCAAGACTAGTCATGAATATTTTGTTAGTAATGTCTAATCTTGTGTTAAGAAGCTTAATAAATGATTTTTATAGAAGTTCCATGGTTAAATCCAGGTTTTGATTATTAGGGTTTGAAACCCTAGAAATTAAAAAATCATGAAATGGTTGTTATATGTTAAGAGTTTGTAAGATTAAGCCTTAAGAAGCTCCATTTTAGTAGTTTGATAAGGTTTTGGGCAAAGAATTGTCAAGTTGGAGTTTTATCCAAAATATGAGTTTTGGCTAAGGATTTCTATGAAGCTTTTAATGGTTTAAGATCTAATAAAAAGGGTTTAATGTATGAATGACATATGTTGTGGCAAAGGAAGAGTTGGAGTCTTTCAAGAGAATATTTGAAGAAGGTTTGAAAGTAGGTTGTTATTGTCTACATAAGAGGTGAGTTATATTACCTTTTAAAGTATGATTTAACGAGATAGATGTGTTGTTAAAGTATGTATGGATGATCATGGGGTAGTAGATTATACCTTTGTTATGCTAATTTTTTTTAAATGAGATTGTATGAATGATATGTTAGATTATAATATTATGTGCACATATATGTAATGAATAAGAATTAGGGATCCTAAGAAAGAAGAATGTCTAGAGTTTGCATGGAAACTGTAGAGATCACAAAGACCAGTAAATTATATATATATATATATATATATATATATATATATATATATAGATATATATATATATATATATATATATATATATATATATAAAAGAGACATTCGTATAATGTACGAACTCGAAACACAATTCTCATTCACTTATTTAATTAAGGGTAATTTGGTCAAGATGAAATTGAAGTAGGTTGGGTTGAGATGAACGCGTCTTTTTTTGCATATAAGAAAAACAATCATATACACCTTGACTAATTAATAAATTCTCATAACAAATAGATTTTCTATTTGAATTTTTCCTTTTGCTTGCATTTTCTTAATTGATCAAGTAAGTTTTGATTAGATCATCGGCTTTTCTTAGATTGATTTTAGTAATTAGTTGAAATATGCATAAAAGCTTTGTTTTCCTTACATATTCTATTCTTTCCATATCCTCATTCAATTCACAAATATTTTTTTTTCTATTTAAGCAATATAATGTTGATTCAAGGAGTTAATCGATCTGATTTGTTAGAACTATTTGTTCAAATTTGTGATTTACACAATAACATTGACCGATACTCTATTTTTTATTTTTAGGTTAAAAAATCAAATTTTCCAACTAATATTCACACCTTTTAAATGAATTGCTCTATTCCATAAAATTTGATATTTTCCATGTTGTTCGATATCCATAATGAATTTGTTGATTCCATAAAAATTGATTTTTCTCAGCTATATATATTCTTACATCTCCCTTACTAAACACTCGATTCTAGAAAATTAATATTTTTTCATCTACTTTAGATTAGTTCCATTAAATTAGTTTTTTATATGGGTTATTCTGTATATAAGCAGATTTAATACAAAAGTATTAAATGATAAAATTATAAAACCTGACTTTTTAACACAAATTACACCTAATTTTTTTAACTTTTAAATAATGAATCATGGTGTACAATTATGCTAAACTGCTAGATACAAGTAGTTACCATAAGGATTAGAACAATGATCCGAGTCATACACTACTAACTTCATACTTCTCTATCCAGTCTACCTGAACTTGAAAGGGGTACAACAATAAAGAGTAAGGTACAACAAGCTTAGTGAGTAACATTAGTAACAAGATACAAAATAGTTACACAATGAGTTATATCAACACATCAACAATTCAATACAATCTCCAAGTGCCCTTTTACTAAAGCTACTATAATGGTCAACACCCAACCAGCAGTACTAGGTCCACTAAAACTATCACCATAGTCAACATCAGACTAGTAATAGTACGACTACCATATCTATCGTAACAGTTAACATTCGACTAGTGGTACTATAACTACCACATATATCATAACAATCAACATCCAAGTAGTGGTACTACAACTATCACATCTATCACAACGATAACATCTGACTAGTGATGCTACGACTACCATATATGTCACAACAATCAACATTCAGCTAGTGATATTATAACTACCATATCTATCACAACAGTCAACATCTGACTAGTAATACTACGACTACCATAAATACTATACTCTATAGTTAATATCTTCTACTATCAATATGTACTCATCTTATGGCTCATCCATATGCAACAAGTAAATAATATGTATGGATATTACCGAACCAATTCCATACTCATTACCACCGTATTGGGTATTTTCATCAACAATTCACCTAGTGGATATCCTTCGTCATGTGGGTTGTATATCATAACGATATATCATCCATCCATTTCTTGTGCCACTGTATCAGTATTGAATACAAACATCTAGTCTTTTTATCAACTTAAATCTCTATCATCTTCATTTTGCAATTATAGCTATCAATCATATTGTGGATTATAAAACCTTGCAGTCTATTAGGCCACAACCTATCAAACACAATTGTTTATTAGTCTTATATTAGCTAGATATAACTATCTTCTTCACCAAGTTCCTTAGTAACTCCACTGATTAATTGTAACATAATTATACCTCATGGATATCGACTTGCAACATACAGCAATCATACCATTTTACTCGCAAACACCCGTAAGTCATCCTATTTTTGACCTTATTATCTACACCTATATTTAATTCGCTATTAATCCTTATACAAGCTTCATTATGGATTAATAAAAAATGATATCGTACAACATCCATAAGGTTCATCAATGGAACTTGCAACATCCACAAGTTTCAGAGTATTACCTACATACATCTACATGTCTTTTAACCTCCTTAAGAGTGAAGTCTTACAACATCCATAAGATAAAGCCTTACTTGCAACATCCACAAGTTTTAGTGTATTACTTGCAACATCCACAAGTCTCATTATTTTCACCATGGTTATATACGCTAAGGAATAAGTCTCATCATTTTCACCATGCAAGACTTATCATTTAACCCCGAAAATATATCCACAACCAAAGAAGCAGACAAACGACCACCATATAATACATTATGTTGGATTTTCACCGTCTAAGCTCGAAATGATTCACATATAAAGCATTTACAACTAAGATGCTTGTATCAAAGCATGTTCTAAACACATTCTTATCACTAAGTACTGTTAACTACTCGCCATAGTTTTACATACAAACTATAACATTACACTAGAATTGTAACAACCCGTATTTTTCATAAAATATTTCACATAAAATTCAGGAAAATATCAGAGTACTAACATTGTTTACAAAACTAGAGTTTAAAAAAAAAATCCTTCCCAAAAGTATTTTCAAAAGCAAGTACGAATGTACCAATCATATCCTAACTACTAGGGGTGAGCAAAACTGAAACCGAAAAAACGAAAAACC